TTAAATTCGAAGGTTAAAGAAGTGGTTTAGGAGGTTGAGACGAAGAAGGCAAAGGACGCACACACCAAGACGACACCTCCGCCGCAGCCATCGTGGCATGTCACCGTCCATAAATCGCGGTGCAGTGGCGGTGGAGACTTCTGTGTGGCGGAAGCGGAGACTTGTGTGTAGCAGGAACGCACTGGCGAGGGAGACGAGATGGAGCGGCGGCGCTCATAGTTTTCCGATTTGGAGTAGATAGAGTCGAAGCCTGGTGCATTGTGCGAAGTAGATGTAGCGGAAGAAGAAAGGGGCGGGGTTATTCCAGACCTTTCATTTTTAATTGATCTGTTTTTTTATCCTATTTGAGTTTAGGTCTTATAATTGTCCAACGAAAACTCACGCGTACTACTGCCGTCATTATTTCAATTCATTATATATGTCCGTGTCAATAATGAGGAATGTTAGATGTACCCCAAAATGAGCTACCTATTTGTACCTCATTATATGAGTGGCTCACAAAACCCCAATCCCACAAAACAATTGCCCCACTTAAATTCATTGCTTTTCTTAACCACAAAACTAGGGAGGGAGTACAAAATGGGGTATAGAATGGAGTAGCTTTAGAATTTTTCGTCAATAATTGAGGGAAATGTGTTAAAAAACAAAGATTATATGTAAAGGCTTAAAAAGTCCTATTTCCCTCTTCCCCTTCTCTCTCCATTCTCTCTTCCCCCTCTCCCTTCTCTCTTTCCTCTTTAACCAAACTATTCGAATATCTCAAAAAACAAATGAGAGATCATTCTCTTCTTTATCTCCCTCTTCCCTTTTTCATCCTCTTTTTCTCTACCTTTTTATATCGTTCTTTTTTCATTATTTCCACAAAATCAACTTATTCATCTTTTTTCATCTATATTTTTATTATTTTTCTATTCTTTTAAAATTACAGGTAAATTGATCACATATGCAACTACACCATTCATTTGGAGATACATAGACAATTAAATTTGTTGTTCACCAAGACAATTGAAATTGATCACACCGACAACTCAAGTTGATGACACAGACAACTATTGTCTGTGAGACGCACAATTATTGTCTGTGTGGTAAATATTATCTTTGCACAAGACAAATAATTGTCTGTGCAACGTGAACATATTGTCTGTAAACACAAGCACTACATATCTATTGATTGATTTGTCTGGTGTCACTGTCAGCGGCTGTTAGTGTATTTTTTACAAAAAAAAAATAAATGTTTGTGGACACATACAAAAGTTGTCTGTGTACACAGATAACTCTTGTCTGTGTCCACAGACAATTCCATACCAATTTTCTGTGGCCGTCATTTTGTGTACAAGTTGTGTACAACTTGTGTATCCCTAGCATTTCTGATATGAAAATGATATACTAGTAATGGAAAATGTTTAGTGTACATGAATTGTACACAAATTGTACACAAAACCCCCTAGTTGCATGTGTACACATGCAATTCATTCAAAAAAGGATAGTACTTGATGCCAAATTGTCTGTGTACACAGTACACATTTTGTGTACAGCTTGTGTACACCAAGAATGGTCCTACTAGTAATAGGTAGGTGTAAGAAACCTTTCTTAATATGGCAAGCCATATCACCCATATGTAGTATTACATTATTTCAATTTTAAATCACTACTTAAAAAAGAAAAAACAGCTAGGGGCCACAAAGAATACTAGGTAGTAGACCAGTAGCCTAGTAGGTATTCCGTATGTAACATTGAATTTAGAAAATTCTGACCTACCCTGTTACGTTATTCTGCAACATGTCGTGATTAAGGGAATGTTTGCAGTTGTTTCAACTTTAAAAAATGATTTTTCAAAGTGATTTTTGAGAAAAGTTATTAATAGTAAAAGTTGGTAGTGTTTGAGAAAAAAGTGATTCTGAAAAAATAAAAGTTGGTAGTGTTTGGTAAAATAAGTATTTTTTGTGTAATAGAAAAAGTGAAAAACAGTTTAAAGCACTCTTCCATCTGCTTTCAGCTTTTAGCTTTTAAGTGATTAATTTAAGCAGAAGTTATCATTTGAAAACACTCTTTTTAGCTTTTTTTAAGCCAAAAGCTGAAAAACATTTTTTTAAGTGACCCCAAACACACCTTAAGTGATTTGTGTCACGACTTTATTCCTTTTTTGTTCCTTTCAATACAATTTTTCTATTTTTCTAGTAAAAGAAAATTATGATTTCCATCATTTTTTATATATTTTTATACATTTTCTCTCTTTTCTTTTGTATAACTCTCCATCATATAATTTTTATTTTGTTAACTCACGTGCAAAACTCTATTTGAGAGACAATTCAAGAACAAATGGAGTATCTGAAAATGAAGCAGGCAGTTGAACATGCATGGAGGTTTTTGGGAACATTTTCTTAATCAACATTGTAATGTCCATTTTAGCTATTTTTCATATTATTTTTTCTTTAATTTATTAATAAAAAATATTTTAATTTTTTTTTCAAAAACCAGCAGAATCAACTAATTCATCCACTTTAGCAAGAATTTCATAAATTTCACCAGAATAAACCAATTCAGCTGATTTCAGTATGACCAAATGGGCTCTAAAATATAATCTAAAGACTCTTTAAATGCAACATTTATTTAAATGGTTGGGAGAAACAATGACAATCGAGTCATATCTACTTGTTAGGCATTTATGTAACATATTATATCCGTCCCTTTTTATTTAGTCATCTTTAACTTTTTCAGTCAAAAATGATAAACTATGATCCATTATTTTAACTAATATATTTATGTGAAACTTAATAAATTTATTGTTTTATGGTAATATTTTTTAAAAGAACATTTTTATATTATTTCCATATTATCAATATTAATGTGTATAAATATATAATTGGTCAAAAGTTACCATCATTGACTTGAAAAGTAAAATTTGACTAAATAAAAAGAGACAAAGGGAGTATATATTACACTAGATGCATGAAAACTTTAAGATTGTATGGGCTAATGAGAAAAAAGATAACTTCTTCGCTTTAAATACATTATTATACTTCATATATCTGTGTGTCAATAATTGAGGGATATGTGTTGAAAAAAATAAAGACAATATATGAAAATGATATAATTGGTAGGTGTAAGAAACCCTTCTTACGAATGTTTGTAATTGCTTTTGCTTTAAAAAAAATCACTTTTTAAAGTTATTTTGGAAAAAGTGTTTAATAGTAAAATTTAGTAGAGTTTGAGAAAAATATATTTTGAAAAGTAAAAGTTGGTAGTGTTTGATAAAATATGTGTTTTTTGTGTAATAGGAAAAGTAAAAAGCAGATTCTACCTTTTAGCTTTTAAGTGTTTAATTTAAGCAAAAGTTGTCACTTAAAACACTCTTTTCGGTCTTTCTAAGCCATTGATATGACAAGCCATTTTAATTTTGAGACTTTTTATCGAAAAATATGAACCAAAATAATAAAGTAATTAAGATTTGATGCAAATGACAAGATTAATTGACCATCATACATCAACTTGAGAGGGCCAATTGCAAGACCCCTCCAAGGAGAAATGTGCATAGAAGTTCTACTAGCCTAGGACCTATTGGGTGGGTGTAATGAGTTAAAAGTAAAACATATACTCCGTGAATTGAATCATATAAACTCGTGTAATAACAAGTTTGCACAGAGAATTTCGGATCCCTTTCCACAAGCTGGAAGGTGATATTTATACTAAGGGAGAAATACATGACCAACAAGTAAAAATATTTTAGGAAAAATTGATAGTAATAATCCCAACTATTGGCAGTCCGCTTATAATATTTCCAACTATCGATTATTTCAGAATAATCCCAACTTTAGGGACCATCCGCCAATAATGGTCCCCATAAATAAATTCTTGTAGTTTCTAAAGTGGATGAGGAGAGAGATATCAATCAATCCCTATAAATAATCCCAAATTTTAATTTTTACACTTAATTTCTATTTAAAATTCACTTTTTTAGGAGGTAATATTTGGTCATGGACCATTATTGGCGGACGGTCCATATAGTTGGGATTATACAAAAATAATCAATAGTTGGGATTATTATCAGCGGACCGGCAATAGTTCGGATTATTATTCTCAATTTTTCCAATATTTTATTCTATTGTGGTGGAGACATGTGTCACACCTGTTTAACAAAATAAATGCACTAGCCTAATGGTGTGGTGACACATGTAAAGGTGATTGGGGAGATGCTTGGGACAATTGGCTGACTGGTACTATTCGTAACAGAATTGCACCAGAACACACGTGTGCGCTACATGTGTGCCATCCAAAATATTTTTAATCCTTAACTGGTGGAGTGATGTAGCCTTCACATAGTGTTGATGATGTGGCGATAGCTTGCGTGATACTTGATTGCTGAAATGTCCAAGTCCACACTGGGTTAGTGATGCCCCGAGCTCCATGAGGTCGGAGCTCGGGCAAAGTGAGCCCATTCAAGGGGATTTGATCCCGGTCTTCAGTTTCTCCGCTGACGGTTATTTCTTCATAACCGTTGACTCCCGTTGACTTGTGTCCGTATCCAAGGTCGGGTCTGATACCAACATCGGTGTGCTTGAGGTCGGCCTCAGATTTGGTCTTATCTTGGTGATCTGGGAGCCCGATGTAGTGCCGACCTCGGATGGGTCGAGGTCGACCTCAATAGAATATTGACTTTAGCGTTTCGGGAGATCTCCTTTGTACGTGAATGTTTTGATACCCCTAGGATATATGTGAATATACTCCATCATTAATATGTATATTTGTTTGTGTAGTAGACAATTTTTGCATTTTTGCTAGACTAATTGTCTATAATATTGACAAACGTACAAAGTTACGTACAAATTATGTACAAATAAGTGGGTACAAATGTAACTTTCCTATCAAAAGTGGAACATTTCCTTTACTTGTGAATTATGATGAAGTATGATCTTTATTTTTGAGAAGAAATGAAGTATGATCTAATTAATTAATTAATTAATAAAGCCAGTTTAATTAGTTAACTGCCAAAACATGGGCTAAAGAGCTGATTAAACAGCTCAAAGCCGTGAACTATGAAGTAGGACGGAGGATGAGAGTGTTACTCCATATAATAACAATCTTTAAGCTACCACGGCTTGATCCGAACCTCATCTCTCTCCGACTAGTTCTGGTTTTCTTTGACTACCAGGATGCAACACAATTATCGTTTTTGAATTTCTGCATTTCCGTATCATTGGAGTAGACGAAGGTTGGTTGGCATAAGGATTCGTAGCGAACGGAGACGGATCTGTTTCTTCTCATAATGAAGTGGATGTTGTTATCAATTCAAAGCCCCGAATCATCACTGGGAAGCCATTTGTTCTGGTAATTCGCTTATATTCTCCACCATTTATTTCGTTGAGTTTCTTTCTGTCTTGGTTACGAGATTGCTGTTATATGTTAATTATGTAGTGATACTCTTGCTAAATCTGGGATCCTTTTAATTGCCATGGGCGGGCCAAATAACAGATTGCCGGAGATGGATGATGAATATAGGGCCCTAAATTTGGCTTGACCACCTTTGGGAGTGCAAGATTTGGTGCAAGTGTCCTATCATAGGTATTTAGGGGAGTTAGCTTTGAGTGGACTTAGAGGAAAATTGTGTGTTTTTGTCATCAATTTTGTTTACTGATGGGGGAAGATCTTGAATTTTTATTTGTTCATTAATCGTGTGTCGTTATGCAACCTGCAGCCACAAGCTCATTGCATTGTATGTGATTTCCACTGCAGTGGTGCAGTAGCAAGAAGTGGGTGTTATTGGAAAAAATTGGCTATTAAAACGTCAAAGTAAGTTTCTGGTTATCTGCAAGCATCGCATCCTTTTCTCTCCATTGATGAAAGGGACTCACCTCCCTTTTCACCATGCGAAATTGTCATGAACTCCCCATCTTCACGCTCCCCCTTGCATTCCTCATCCTCTCCTTCGTGCTCCGCCTTTTCCATCCCTTTCTATTTCTTCAGTACCCTGAAAGCGACCAAAATCAAACTCTGCTTCACTCTACATCAAAAGAACAATTTGAAGCAGAGCCAACAGAGAGTTTCTGCCACAACCACGACTTGGTCCAAGAGCAGAATTCTTCACCAAGGAATTATATTGTTCGATTCACTAAGTATCTGAAATCTGAATTTCATCAGACATATCTGCAAAACAATGTGAAATTGAAAGGTTGGAAGTGGATAGAAAGGAAAAACCCTGCTTCTCGATTTCCAACTGACTTTGCATTAGTGGCAATTGAGGAATCGATGATAGAAGTTTTGATCAAGAAGTTCACAAATTTGAAGTGTGTGAAAGACGTATCATTGGATTTGAGCTATCAAAGAGGAGTTCTTGGAAAGAAAAATGTTAGGGTTGGGGGGTTTTTTGACGGGAAGAAGAGACCGGGCAAGATCTTCACGGCGATGTCTTTCAGTGAAGGAGAGAGAAATGTAGTGTCTAACTCAAGCAACATTGATATAAGCTGGAAGAGGGAACTTTTGATGCAGGCAAGTTACTGGTGTTTTCTTATTGTTTTTTGTTATCTTGGAAGCTATGAATTCTAAATTAGAATTGTTCCTTTTTCAGAAGTCTCAAGTTACCTCCCTGTTTAGTGCAGAAGCACTCTGGTCAAAGGGATACACTGGTGCTAAAGTAAAAATGGCTATATTTGATACAGGCATTCGAGCAGATCATCCACATTTTCGTAATATCAAGGTAACTTATCTTTTCTGGGGGGATGATTTTAAAAATATGCTTTACTTGAATTTCATGTAACTTATGTCCAGACATGTGGACACATTTTACTCCACCTATAATATTCTTTTGGTTTAATCATTGATTGGGTGCACAGGAACGTACAAATTGGACCAATGAAGACACTCTTAATGACAATCTTGGACATGGGACATTTGTAGCTGGAGTTATTGCTGGACAAGATTCAGAATGTCTTGGTTTTGCCCCAGACACTGAGATTTATGCTTTTAGAGTATTCACAGATACACAGGTAATGGATGCTTTGCATTAGAATAATTGAATAAAACATACATTCACCTGAGCATTCAACTCCACTGATGATTTGTGTTGGAAGCTACTTTTTACACACACACACACAGCCCTGCATCATTTTTTATTTTTGTGTTGTTTATGGGTAATAATTATTTTTCTTGCCTTCTACTACTGTCTCTACCCATTTTGCCTACATTGTTTTCATTTTATTGGTCTACCATTTTGGTGTTAACAATTTATCAAATACACATTTCAATTTTCATTACCCTTTCAAAATACAAACAAGAATGATCTCGACAAATAGGATCTATCTTAGTAGGGATAAAATCAATTACAAGACTTTTCTTTTTATCTTTCATATAGATATATATCATTATATCCCAACACCTAATCAAATTAGTATCTATCTTGGAAATAAAAAGATCAAATTCTTCTTAAATTTTTAGTTACTAACCTCTGAGAGCAAACATGGCTCAAAGCTTACATCCCTAAATGAGGACAGAGTTAATCTTTTCTAGCAAAAAAACATCAAAACCATATACAAATGCTGATAAACATTAAACCGGAGAAATAAAACCTTCCCAGCAGCCATAGCTGGAGTACCATTGATGAGCACTAGAATTAGACTGTAGATAATATTGTGCTGGATACATGGACATAGGTCTTGACATAGTAATTCACTGATCCTATAAAGGAAGTGTATAGCAATTCTAGTGAGTATCACGGAACAGTGTGTGTGTGAGGTCTGACTTGCATAGGGCATTGATAAGACCTAGTATGAGGAACATGGATAAGTTGAAAATTTTACTGCATAAATCTGAATCCAAATGATTGGGTTTTTCTTATTTTTTATCTGTAACTTAGCAACCATATGAGAAATATGTCCTCAGTTCATTGCAGGTATCATACACTTCCTGGTTTCTTGATGCATTTAACTATGCAATAGCAACCGACATGGATGTGTTGAATTTGAGCATAGGTGGACCTGATTATATGGATCTTCCATTTGTGGAGAAGGTCAGTTTGTTGGGGTTTTTAAATGGTATTTTCTAACAAGTTTTTACGTGCACCTTCTCATGATCTTCTTTATGCTGTAAATATCTATTTTATTATGAAGAAGGAATTTCAGCATTTTATGATGTTTAATTTTCATTCGGCCTTGTCATAGTTATAAGTCAAAATGGAATTATTAATTGTTTTTATAAATGTAATGTGGTCCTGATCTTGAATGGCAATGTCTTCTTATCAGTGCATACCAAAAAGAACACTGCTAGAATGAAAAACTTTCACCTGTGACCAAGTGACCCGATTGTCTACTTCCTCTGCTAGGTTTGGGAGATAACAGCAAATAATATTATCATGGTTTCAGCCATTGGTAACGATGGGCCACTTTACGGAACTTTGAACAATCCAGCAGATCAAAGTGATGTTATTGGTGTTGGTGGCATTGATTACAATGATCATATAGCATCATTTTCATCGCGTGGCATGAGTACATGGGAGATTCCTCATGGGTAGTGTATTTTTGCTCCCTTTCCTCTTTTTTTTTTTCTTTTCATATATGGAGTTATGCTACCTGGACAGTAACCCATTAATAAAACTTGGAAGTGATAACTGAATTTCTTTGCCAAACTGGTTTGCATAAAAGCCCTCTCCATGGAGGTGGGGGTTGTGGTGAATGAAAGAGTAAAATGAGCTGCGAGGTAGGTTTGTAATTGCATGTCTGCTTTGCAGTTATGGCCACATGAAACCTGACATTGTTGCTTATGGACGGGAGATCATGGGTTCCAAGATCAGCACTGGTTGCAAAAGCTTGTCTGGCACTAGTGTTGCGAGTCCTGTGGTGGCTGGAATTGTATGCCTCCTTGTCAGTGTCATTCCTGAAGGCAAGCGGAAGGACTTGTTAAACCCAGCCAGTGTGAAACAGGCGCTTGTTGAGGGAGCTGCAAAACTTCTCGGTCCTAACATGTATGAGCAGGGTGCAGGCAGGGTTAATCTGTGAGTTCTTGAACACTTAAGTGATGTTCTGTTAACCTTATTTTTGCTCATTACTCAAGATCATAAGAAATATCAAAACTAGACCAGAAATATTTGGGCAAGGCCCGAACAAAAAGATTCAGATCAGACTAGGTGTTAGTGTGTTATATTTGAAAAGGAGAACTAGACAAGATCAGAAACTTTCTCAGACCAGAAAGATTTAGATCACTCTTGAGTAGATTTTAGAAAATTCAGATTAGTTTACATTTCTTCAGGATAGAAGAGGTGCTTTTGGTGCATTGTGAAAGCACGCAGTGCATTTTAAGTTCTTATAACTTATATATATGTTAACTTGAATACTGATGACAGGTTGGAGTCTTTCGAGATTTTAAAGAACTATCAACCTCGGGCCAGCATCTTTCCCAGTGTTCTTGATTACAGAGATTGTCCTTATTCATGGCCATTTTGCTCTCAACCACTCTATGCCGGTGCCATGCCAGTTATTTTTAATGCTACCATTTTAAATGGGATGGGTGTTGTTGGTTATGTTGAAGGCCTGCCGACATGGAATCCCTCAGATGATATGGGAAATCTTCTTGATATACACTTCACCTATTCTGGTGTTATTTGGCCATGGACAGGTTATCTGGCGCTTCATATGCAAATCAAGGAAGAAGCGGCTACATTTTCTGGGGACATTGAAGGAAATATTACTGTTCAGATTTTTAGCCCTCCGGCTAAAGGAGAAAAAACCCGCCGAAGTAGTACCTGTATCCTTCAGTTGAAACTGAAAGTGATTCCTACCCCACCAAGAGAAGCTCGGATTTTATGGGATCAATTTCATAGTATTAAGTACCCCCCTGGTTATATACCAAGAGATTCTTTGGATGTTAGGAATGACATCCTTGATTGGCATGGAGATCATCTTCATACAAACTTCCATATTATGTTTGACATGTTAAGAGATGGTGGGTATTATGTTGAAACACTTGGATCTCCTCTGACATGCTTTGATGCAAGACACTATGGGACCCTTCTCCTTGTGGATCTTGAAGATGAGTACTTTGGTGAAGAGATCAAGAAACTCAGGGATGATGTGATCAACACTGGGTTAAGTGTGGTTGTATTTGCTGATTGGTATAATGTGGATACAATGGTGAAGATGAGATTCTTTGATGATAACACACGAAGTTGGTGGACCCCTGTAACTGGAGGTGCTAATGTGCCTGCTTTGAATGACCTTTTGGCTCCATTTGGGATAGCATTTGGAGATAAAATTCTTAATGGTGATTTTGTCATCGATGGTGAGCAGAGTCGATATGCATCTGGAACTGACATTGTCAAGTTTCCTAGAGGTGGATATCTGCATAGCTTCCCTTTCCACGATAGTTCAGAGAGTGGGGCTACACAAAATGTTATGTTATCTGGCACAGCCAAGGTGAGATAAAAGGCTCCTCTTTATGCTCCGATCCTCAGTATTTTTTTCATGATACTATTATACCTCTGCACCCTAAGATGTGGATATGAGGGAGTGGTGCAGTTAATAAGAAAAGTGTAATGATGTTTTTGGTAGTGAATTGGTAACGTTTGAATAAAGTAAGAATGAATTAGAACAATACAAATATTATCAAATATGGTATGAGACAAACTTAGTGGTATGGACAAAAAATGAAATATGAGTTAGTGGGACGGACAAAAAATGAAATATGAGGTAGTGGGACTGGAGGGAGTACTATTTAGCATTTACCATTTGAGTTTTTATGCATTTCCTAGTTTCCTTGAGTGGTAAATAAGCTGTACCCCTGCCAGTTAAAGTCGTAGTCATTTCATCATTAATACAAAACTATATTGAATCTCTAACAAAATGATTCCTTTCTATAAACGCAACCACATATTTTGTTTTACTTCCAAAAAAAATCTTTGAATCATAATATTTTTTACACAGTTAATGATCTCTTTTTTTAGTGAATGATTTTGTACTTCGAATCGTGTTAGCCGACCCCAAACTCTTTTAACAATCTCTTTGTTAGTGAACGCATTAAATATATATTCAAAAATCCATTTTTTTCGTCAAAATTGGAGAAAACTTATGACATTGGAAGCAGTTTGAACATGCTATTTTACTTCAACTTGTTCATAAAAATCTGAGCCTTTCAAAGTAAACTATTACCCTCTCACCATCCCGAAATAAATAAATAAATAAATAAATAGGGACTACCATTTTCCTGAACTTTTGGATGCCTTAAAATTGATTCAGGCAGACACGCCGATTCTTGGTCTAGTGGAGGCTGGCAAGGGCCGCATTGCAGTATATGGAGACTCAAACTGTTTGGATAGCAGTCATATGGTTACCAATTGTTACGGGCTTTTGAAGAAAATACTAGATTTTACTGGCAAAAGTAATAAAGATCCCATACTGTTCTCTGATTCAGTTAAACAAGACAAACCATTGTACATGGACGAGAAGCTATTACCATCCAGACGGACTGATGTGAACTTTTCTACCTATTCTGCTGTTGTTGGAAAGGAAATGATCTGCAGACATGACTCTCGGTTTGAAGTATGGGAAACTAAAGGCTACAATTTACATGTCAGGGGAAGAAACCGCAGATTACCAGGCTACACTGTTATTGATTTGGGCACTGGTTTAAATTCTTCCTCAGAGAGCTCATGGATGGAAATATCCAACACAACTAAAAAGAAAGGTGGTTATTCACCAATAAGCAAGGACCTGGATGGAGATGATGTAATACTTTCTTGATTCTCATTATTGTGTTTTATTGTCCATTTTTTTAACATGAAAGGCTAGTGTTCAATTCCATCTAATTCCCCTCTTACATTGAGATGTTCATGTCCCTATTGTGCTATGCTATCAACCTAATAATGATTGTCTTGTTGAGGAGTTCTGAGGGGAAGTTGAGAGGGTAAGAATAATATTAGTTTTACTAATTATATCTTTATTTATTGGTTTTATAAGAACTAACTGTCTGTTTACTTAATAAAGTCATGTATCTCTCTATAAGTTTTCACATGTTTCTCTTCTAACCAACTACTGTGGGAATAAATTAACAAAATAAAGTTATCACCCCACACCCCCTAAAGACGACTTCTTATGTAGCTTTAATTGATTTATCATTCATTGTTTAACAAGGAATTTTTGTTTGCAGCAAGATGTGCATGTTCCTTTAGCAACCCATTGGCTTGTTCCTGTAGGTATTGCAATTATTGGTAAGTTGGAAGAATTTTGGGTTTTCCGGGAAGTGTTTTTTATTTTACTTTTTTCCTCATTTATTGAATCAAACTCTTTTAACTCTGCACATTGTATTGTTAGGGGTGTTGCTACTTTTGAGTCTTTGGCGCGTTCATCAGAAGCGGGGTAGGCGGAGGAAAGTATCTTCTGGTTCAGTAGGTCGCTTTGCTAATAATGTATAAAGTAATGCTCCCGCTTACATTTTTCGTGCATTATCTTGACTGACAAAAGAGTCAGGGCTGCCACCTGTCACCATGCGAGTGACACAAGCAAGGCGAGTTTTGTATCACAAACGAATGCCTAGAAGTCTTTCCTGTTAGATTGTTCGAGAAGAGGTGTAGAGCATCAGATTTGTAGATGTAGCTTACATGATATACCAGACATTCTTCTTCATCAGTAGAAAAATAGCAATGCGACTCTTCCTAAAGATCATTGGTAGGTCAATACGTTATAGTGTTTCTATTTTTTCTCAATTTGTGTCGACCGAGATATTCTCAGGTTGTTTCAGCAAAAGTATTCTCACATAACCCATTTTCCTATTATTTTTAAGTTTGGTGTAGAAATTAATTTTTGGTTATATTTTGCAGCTTTGTGGAAAACGAGTGTTCCTCATTTGAGGAACACTCGATTTAAAGTTGAGTATGAAAAGTGTCATTTACAATATCCGAAGGATTAAAACTTATGTGGGAAAGATTCAATGTCGAGGATGAAAATGTCATTTATAAAATATTCGGGGATAAAGTGTCAAAACCCACTCTTCAATTGGTTAAGAAAAGTAATATTGAGAATCATTTTGAGGAAGTGGAAGTAAGTTAAGGGAGTGTTTGCACTTCATAAAAAAGTGCTTTTTAGCTTTTGGATTAAAAAAAAGCTGAAAAGAATGTTTTCAAATGATAACTTCTGCTTAAATTAATAAATTAAAAGCTAAAAGTTGGAAGCAAGTGGAAGAGTGTTTTAAAATATTTCACTTTTTCTATTACACAAAAAACACTTATTTTACCAAATACTGCCAACTTTTACTGTTTCAAAATCACTTTTTTCTCAAACACTACCAACTTTTACTATTAAGTACTTTCTCTAAAATCACTTTAAAAAAATCATTTTTTTAAAGTAGAAGCAATCGCAAACATTCCCCAAGTATCAGTGTGTGATGACCAGTGCCCTGAAAGATGGTAAAAACGAGAAAGCATCGCCTATAGAGCCCCGACCCCCCGACCCAAAAAAACACCCAACCCAACCTAGGAAAAACAAAAAAAAAAAATTGAAACCCCCCCCCCCCAAAAAGGCCCGAATCAGGCCCGGGCCGGCTGGGCCGGTTCCTATTTTGACTGACCCGAACCCGCCCTATGTAACCCCCGGGCCTACCCGGACCGGTCTCTGGTCGGGCCACCGGGCTGGGCCGGGCCAGGCCGGGCCATGGGCCGGTCGGCTCGAAACCGGTCCATCACTAATATAGAGCATCGCCTATAGAGTATAGAGCATACCTTTTCCGAATTAGGAAGTGGGTTAACTTGTAAGAAATCATTGTATAATTAATTATCTTATCGATGTTATAATTCATGAAATAGGGGTTTTTAATTCCTAAGTTAATGGTGTCTTATATGTATGGGATGTGTTTTGACTTTTGGTTCTATTATCTCTCTCTTGAATTCAATTATTACTATTTACTCATTTCATATGACCCCGTTTCATGACACTAAATTGGCTGATTTCTGCTGAAATTTATGAAGTTCTAGCTGAATTGGTTGATTCTGTTGATTTATGAAAGAATTACACACAAAATATATTTTATTGATAAAGTAAAGAAAAACTTACATGAAAATAGCTAAAATGATCCTCTACAGTATCTTTAAACAATACAGGCACAAAAGTAACTCCAACTTTGTTTTTTCTTATGATTACACAACTCAGCGTGCAAAATCAAAAGTTACATATTTGGTCATGAATAAAACATCAAATATATTGATCATGAATATCCTTCAAAAGAAGGTCACAAATCAAAGATAATCAGGCTCAGAAATAGCTTGCTTAGCCAAAGCATCAGCAATTCTATTCGCCGATCGTCATACGTACTAGACAGAAATATCAGCACCTAATGCTATCATATCTCTTATATCATCAGCTAACAAAGCCTCATAAGAGCAACCTCTCGATCCCTGCACACCCTGAACTGCTAGCAAAGCATCTGACTCAATAACCACATGCCTTCACTCTTGATGCATAGCCCACTCCACAGCTTCGCCGATAGCCAAGAACTCTGTAGTCGTTGCTCCCATACCCCCAAGTCCCAACCAAACTCTTCCTCATCCCCACAATAAAATTCCCCTCTTCATCTCTAGCCACTAAGCCAACACCCCTCCTCATATCACTCTGACCTAAGGCTCCGTCCACATTTATATTTATATATCCTCTCTTCGGCTTGCTCCACCTCTTCTGATCTCTCGTATTAGCCACCCTTATCTAATTTTTATGGACTTCCATCCATTCAGTACCGTTGTACGCACACAAGCTCAAGCACATAATCACACACTCCAGCCTCCTCTTTAGTCATACGGTCATACCTTGTAGTTTATTTCCCGCCCAATCTGTCACTGAGGTACCACCTCCTGACTCCTGGCCTCCTATTCCTCCATAGTGATCTAGTCATAGTGCAATCCCGTACACACACATACTTGGTTCAGAAGTTGAGTTTAATTTGGGGTTCCAACAAAAATAGTTCAATTTAGGTTTTTCAAATCAATTTAAAGCGTGTTGTCTACAAAAAAAACATGTTTGAATCTGCTTTTAAAAAATAGTTCAATTTAGGTTATTCAAATCAATTTAGAGGGTGTTGTCTGCAAAAAAAATCAATTTAGGGTGTTTGAATTTGCTTTTTAAAAAATAGTTCAATTTAGGTTTTTTCAAATCGATTTAAAGTGTTTGTATCCACTTTTTAAAACTGCTTCTACTCATTTAAGGAACAAAAATATATACTAGAGTATCTAAATGAAAGTGCATAAGTACTTTTAAGTGCCTTAGGGTTGGTTTGAAAATGTTTTAAAAAAGCACTTCTCAATTTTTTGTTTAAAAAACACTTATTTTACCAAACACTAACAACTTTTGTTTTTCGGCTTTCATGTCAAATGTGTTTTTACTTTTTTTATTACACAAAAAACACTTATTTTACCAAACACTACCAACTTTTACTTTTCAAAATCACTTTTTTCTCAAACACTATCAACTTTTATTTAATCACTTCTCTCCATTTCATTAAAAAAACCACTTTTTAAAGCAAAAAATGTAGCAAACAGACCCTTGGAATTGCTCCTACAAGCAAGTTTTTAGAATATGAGGGAGACAAAAATTTGATTCACACAAGCAAAATCAATTAGAACATCCTAATCTTTAGAAAAATCAAACAGAAAGCGCCGCATCATCATGCACAACACTTGACTTTCCCCTCATTTATAGGAAAAGCAATAAACATAAACTTAATATCTGTAGAAAGTAGAAACATAACTTAATTTGGTTTCATTGCAATAAAATGACTAAACAAATGCCGGGTAATAAATCATTGCACACTAATACATTTACCGAGTAATAATCATGGACTACTTTCTACTGCTACAAGGGCTTTAATAATAATCCCCAATAAGAGTGGTAAAGATCTGCAGATAAAATATATTTAGAATGCGTATTCTGAAGTCTATTCAGTTCAACCTGTTGGCAAAGAGTGATGTCAAAACCCCAAGAAGAACCATATCTACTCCATACCTCGCATTGGAACCACCATATGTTGTCCCTGGGAGCGAAAACAAATGCAGCTATTAAACATGGTGGCAGTAGGTGTGGAGCCTCATACGCACAACAAAAGTTGTACACCTAACATAGAAACGAGCCCACCAAAATGGAAAAAGCAATACACACAAGAAGGCCACCTAGAGGTCCTAGACCATTTAAATTGAAGACAAATGACAAAGGGCCATCAATTGTGTAAGACTTTGTAAGGAATACATAAAAATGAACACATGACTGAACACATGTATGACTTCTTTTGGATGTGAACGCACTGGGAACCCCTTCGTAGAAGAAATGTGTGGGTGTCATCTTTAAACGAGTACTATCCATTACTTATTTGCAGCGGAATTGAATTGCACACAATCACACACTCGGCAACTCCTCAAACAATGATCACTAAAAAATCAAAGAGGCAGATTTTAAAAGCATATGACCCTAAAACACAAGTAAGCTCTTTTCACATTTCAACATCAATGCAGAGAGCGTAAAATGGTGCACTGTATTGGATGTACGCCAATCAGCCAAAATACTGAATATTTTAAGAAGAGGTTATTTAAACAAGAAGGTTAACATAAAGCTAGAAATCAAAGGATGGAATCAAATGAGATAAAATATCCCCTTAAACATGTTTAAGATCAAAATTTCACACAGATCAAGTATTAAAGTTCTTGTGGAGAATAAGCACTAGTAAGCTACGGTAAGATATAGATTTAAGAGATAACTTTCCCTATTTAATGTGCAAGAAACAATATTTAATAGATGTATTTATATCGCAATGCTATAACTCTAGGGGTCGGACTTAAGAATATGGTATAAAAAGAGGAAATTTGGAAGCAAAGGAAATACTTGATATGTCAACTTATCAGGTTAAAATGTTCTCAAACTTTGATTTTTCAATAATTTGGATTACATAAAGAATGTGAAATCTAAATATACATAAAAAAGCCAGCTAAAATGTTAAATTCCTACTTATTTTCCGAGTTAAATCAAACATCAAAACCATTTTCTCTTGGTTTTTTATTTCCCACCCATTTTCTGAGTTCCAGATTTAGCCCTTGCAATGTTGTGTTTCATAAACTAACCAAATTTCGAAGTGAAGTAACATATAAAATATGGGGAAACCTGTAAGTTAGGATTATGTTGTCCAGCATCTCTAGCAGAGCTATCAGCAGCCTTGGCGGATCCCTTTGTATCACCCTACCAATTAAAGTAGTTGTTTAGCGCTAATGAAATATATTAAGAGGGAGAGAGAGGGTGGGAGTTTGGGAGAGAGAAATGAAAGCTGGAATGCAAAGCAAAAGTGACTAACCTCCATCTGGAAAACGCATTGATCCAACAGGAAGATAAAAGCATACAAAACAGAAATGCATTAGTTCATAAACCATGAAGTTATAGACTAATGGCAATATTTGCAACACAAAATGCAACATTCATGTGCAGAGAGAAAGATAAATACCTCTCTGTATCGAGTGAGATACACCTTCAGAGGCTCGATATAATCTTCAAATCCTAAAGTCGCCATTGACCATAGCAGATCATCACCGTTGATAGTTTTCCTTTTCTCCTTTTGGCATTTGTCGCTTGCCCTAAACCATTTGAAAATTACAATCAGCATACATTCACAAAACACATCCAAGTAAGCAGATTTATTGAAAACCCGTCCTTCTACCACACGCAAATATGAGCAGAAACAAAAAAACAAAAACAAAAAAAAAGAACGAAACTTTAACACACAAGCACCAAATTGAATTACCAAACAAGCATTCTTTAACCAAGAGGAAAAGAGAAAAGAGCCCTAGAAGAATCCGTACTCGCTGGTAACGAAGCTAATGAACTCGGAAACACACTCCTGGACGGTCTCCTTGGCATCCTTAGCAATTTTGCCGTTAGCCGGAAGGGCCTTCTTCATGATCCGGCTGATATTCGCGATGGGAAGGAACTTATCCTGCTCCCGAACATTCGACTTGGAGCCGGGGCTGTGGTCCCCGCTATCATGGCTACCGCCGCCAGGGCTTCCCGGAAAGGGAAACGGCACCTGACCGTCGGCCATAACCACAGGCAGACGAACCCTACAAACGCCATATGCCGAACAAATTACACTGTAAATAGATACGATCACAGAGAAGTGTGCATATATATATAATATAGGAGGCAGAGAAACGTGAAGTACACCTGAAAATTAGAGAGTGAGAATTTGTATATGGGCGCGAGCGAAGGGGATCGAGGAGATCGGACGCTGGAAAAGTGGGGAGAGGAGACGACTGAGATGGGAGCTTGGGGTTGGGATTCGGTCTATCACCACCGTTGGTTCTCTCTCGTTCTTTCCGGGTCGGTTTGGATTTATAAAGATGAGTTGCAAATTGAGGTAAGAGTATTAGTAGTCGAAGTTGCGTAAAGAGTCAAATAAGTCCTTATATAGGAGTCTCTGTCCGGCCGTCGTCATTTGGTGCGTTTCCCGATGGATTTTTTTGACGAAATTTTTTGGGATCGTATTCATTAAGTCTAGTTTACTCATACCAAATTTGAGTTAAACATTCAATAAGGAAGGCATTCAGATGAATTCTTGAAGATAATTGCGCAGTTAAAAGCGCAATTATCTTCAAGAATTCATTTAAATGCCTTCCCAATTGAAGTTTTAGCTAAAATTTGGTATGAGTACACTAGACTTGATGAATAATGTTCTCAAAAAAATCATCAAAAAATTCTGCCGGGAACGGCCTCAAATGATGACGGCCGGACAATAAGGACTTATTTGACACTTTTTATGCAATTTCGAGTACTAATCTGATCATTATCTCCGTTGCAAATTTGCAATTACTCCGGTAAAGAAGGGACCAGTTTATCAAATCAATCCAATAAGGGGAAATTCATAAATATGAAATTCACTTGTTCATTACATTTGTTTTCAAATTAATAAATAAATAATCAACATTTCAACTTTTTTCAAATAAATAAATACTATATCAACTTTTTTTCAAATGAATAAATAAATAATCAACATTATACGATTAAATATTAATGTGGATAATATATTTTCATTAAGAGCATATCAATATCAGAGACTCTAATCTTAAAAATATGTCAAATGTCAAATAAATAAAAAGTTTTACGACCCACATAATATAAAGTGATGTGACTCGATAATGAAATACAAAAAGGTTAGAATGTATAAAGTCTCATGCCTCAAGTCAAGTGCTTATGTGAAACTAACATATATTAAGTTAATAAAGTATATTGTGTTTAACGGGTTCTTGATTTCCGTTGTATAAAAAAGTATATTGTGAATCAACGAAATACTTATCGCTTGGTGCTAGGGCTGGACTCGGGCCGGTTCGGGCCCGGTTCGGGCCTGGGCCCGGCCGGGCCTCGGGCCAGGAAAGGGGAGGCCCGAGCCCGAACCGCCGGTGGCCGGTTCCGGTTCCGGGCCAAACCGGGCCGGGCCGGGCCGAACCGGCCCAATTAATTTTTTTTTTTGTTCTCCTATTTAATCCCCTACCCCTCCCCCTCAACCCCAAACCATCCCAAACCACCTCAAATGGCCCAAAATACCTAATCCAATCTAAAACTTAAAAAAATTTCAAAAAAAAAAAAATAAAATAAAATCCGGCCCGGGCCGGTTCACCAAAACCTGGGCCCGAGCCCGGACCGCCCAGCACCCGGGCCGGGCCAAACCGAACCGGTGGACCCACCGGGCCGGGTCAAACAGTGATCGGGCCGGTTCGGTCCCGGGTCGGGCCGCCCGGCCCGAGTCCAGCCCTACTTGATGCATAAGAAATTCTCCATTTAGTTTGATAGACACCGGAAAAGAGTTGATAAAAAAATTCCGTATTTTTCAAAAAATTCTAGGACACTCAATTTTGAATTTAGATCACTTTCTATTGAATCTTGAACACTTCTTTTTTAATCTAGAATATTTCTTTTCAAATCTCTGACACTTTTTTCAAATCTAAAACACTTTCCTATCGATTCATTTGTGACATTATACACAAATTTAACTTTCTCCTTTGAATCTATGATAGCATCACACTAGTAGTAAGAGACTATAGATCCGGAGGTTTTTGAAAAAGCTTTGAATTAAGGTGATACCCTCCCTACATTGTAATTGTATCTCGGTTTCACTTTTCTTTTGAGTCTCGATTTCACCTTTGCTTTCACTATCATCAGTTTCACCTGTGCTTTTACTATTTTTTAATTTCAACTTTGGTTTGACTCTTGCTTTCACTTTTGATTTGACCCTTTCACCTTTGGTTTGGGCCTCGGTTTCACTTTTGGTATGATTTTGAAGTGAAAGTATTTTGCTACTATCTAACAAGACCCAAATTAAGGCCCTTTCTAATGTTAAAAGGGTCATATTTATTTATTTTTTGGCAAGTCTTGGATATATTATAACTTCTTTGATGGGGTTTACTTCATTACATATTTGGTATTCTCCCATATGAGCTCTGACTGCTAGAAAACTATATGGGTTCAATTCCCACAACAGTGCCTGCAAATCCAGGGACTCATCCACAGTCCACAGTACAAGGTAATGGCGCAAAATTTTCTTGAACCTGAGTTTTTTTGCAACTCAGGACCAGATATCCTCTATCTATCAACTAGGGGCCAACTAAATCACTGGTGGTCTTAGGCTCTTAGCGGTCCTATTGAAAAAAAATCACAAAAAAATGAAGTTGAAGATTAGACAAGATGTGTTTGAAAACATTTTAGACTTGGGAGGATCGTGACAATGGGATGAAAAGCTAAGTTGCTGTAGTTTTATTTCCTATGTATTGTTGTTGACTTGTATAAACTATATGGTATAACCCATGATGATCTTTTGTCATTCTTTTCGACAAAGTAAAATAGAATAATCGATATCTTCTGTTAGCAACAAGTACTTGAGAAAGCAATATCAATCCCCCTAATCTACCATACAAAAAAATGGTCAGAAACCAGGAAAAAAAAACTGAGGTAATCAATCATGTATGAACAAGATTCCCAACATAGTGATCCATATATATACAAAGAAAAATCTAACGAGCGGAAGGGCGAGCAACAGATTCGTCAATGGAAAGGCAATGCTCGCTTGGACCGAGATCCATTGAGCTCAAATTGAGGGAAGAATATATAGATTGTTTAGATATATCATCAGAACTGCCATCTCTTAGACCTTCTGCCCCTCTTTCAATTGCGAGTGCGTCTTGGATGTCCTTGAGGACTTCAGAGATAGAGGGCCTCATGCTCCCGTGAGGCTGCACACACATAAGGGCTTTCTCGGCAATCTTCCACATTGATTGGATGTCATATTCATTTCCCAGTGTAGGGTCAATAATCCCTTGAAGATCTCCACTCTCGATATGATGCTTTGCCTGTATATAACCAGAATGCATTTACTCTGTTATTTTTCAAGTCTTCGCATACATGTTAATAAAGCTAGGGATGGGCAATCCAATTTAGTTTGGCCAAACAGAACTAAACTAATTCAAACCACAACTATATGCAATTTGGTTTCATTTTGGTAAAATCCAAACTGAACCAATGCTGAATAAAACAGAATTAAAAATCCATAAACCTTTAATATGGTTGTAGTTGTGTATGAAAAAGGTGAAATGAATGTGAGTCACACAAATTGTCCCAAAAAGGAAAGTTGGAAGAATTTTATGGGACGGAGGGAGTATTTTTTAAAAAGAACAAATCCAAACCAACCCAATCAAAGTGAAAAAACCAAACCAAAATGCACACCTCTATATAAAGCAACAGTTCTCCCCTCCAATCAAGGTAAAAGCAATATAATCAAGGCTTGGACATGGTGTGGTTCGGGTATGTTTTGGTTCTCTGGTGGTTTCAGTCCCAAACCGGATCTCTCCTTTTTTAATGTTCGAAATAAAAAATGAAATCAGAACCACAACTGCCATTTTTGGTACTCAAAATCCCGAACCAGACCCGGTTTCCTCCGGCTTGGCTCCCAGTTACCCCTTTTCCTGTTCCGGTTCGCGCTAGAATCATAACCTTGTCCAACCCTACTCTAATTTGACAAGAATACCCCTAATGTTGTTGTTAAGTACTACCTCAGTTGCCTAACTTTGATACAAGAGGAGGTGGTGTGGTTACCAAGAAAAGTGAGTTTATGTAGTTGATATTGAGTTGATAAAGTGAGAATAAAGTAAGAACGATTTAGAACCACACAAACATTACCAAATTTGGTACGGGGACAATCTTAGTGGGATAGATCAAAAAAGAAAGATAGACAATTTTGACGGGCTGGAGGGAGTACTATTTAAAGCAATTTTTCTCTAGTGTCGGTTAAAAGAGACCAGAGCAAGTATATCATACTATTTGGATTTCAATCATTTTGGGTTCAAAATTGATTTTCCTTACCCATTGGACAATGTTACGGCAGTTAATACCAAACTTCTCATTTGAGATGGCTTCTTGACCAGACATGAGTTCCAGAAGGATGACCCCAAAGCTGTAAATGTCACTTTTGTCTGTCAACTGCTGGGAAATGTAGTACCTGGAGAAAAACAGTGTCAAAGAGTCAACTTGTATTGATTTAAATGGCAATATGATTAAGCATACTGATGAAGAGAAAAATATGAACTTTAAATTTAAATTTACAAGCATATGGTTAGGTTTTTGTTCGGCTATGTTTCCTGTTCTATGTTTTAAAAATAATTTTTTTATTTGTAAAATATAATACATGTTTGGTAAGCCTGTTTTGTGCAAGTATATGATTATGAAAGTATATGAGTTTTGTGAAAAATTATACTTCCTCCATCCCTCAACTTAATAAATGTAACCTTTTTTTATGTTACCCGTTAATAAATGTAACCTTTTTGCTTTTTCATGTGTACTGATATATTTGAGATTGTGTGGTCGTTACAAATTTAGAAATGAGAGTAAGAAAATAACTGCACGTCCTTTCACTTAGAACGTCTAATTCATCATCATCATTACCCCAGTGCTGCAAAGGCTCCCACCTTCGGTGGGGTAAGGGGGGGGTCGGATCTACGCAGTCTTACCCCTGTACTAAAGCAGGGAGAGACTGCTTCCGGATGACCCACAGTGAAAATCGCGTCGAAAATTGCATGGACTGACTATTGCTTCATAACAAAAAAGCGCAGACAGTTTGGTGAGCCATTTTCCTTTATTCCATCATATTCCTAAGCCAAAAAATAGATTGTCTAATTGGGAGAACAAAAAAGGAATAGGTGAAATTTATTAAGGGTCAGAGGGAGTATATGATTTATTCTTAAAAATAGTGTCAAAATCGGAAACATGTTCCCGAAAAATAAAAACATCAAATTCCTATTCACAACCACACTTTCAGAAACTGAAATGGAAACGAGGTCAAACACATCACACATGAAACTCCAAAAAACATAACAAATG